GGTTGCAGTGAGCTGAGATCACACCACTGCAACTCCAGCCAAGGCAACAGAGCGAGACTCTCAAAAAGAAAAAAAAAAAATAGGCAAATCTACTTCTTAGGGTTCCTGTAAGGAGTAAACTTGTTTATGATGCAAAACATTCAGCAGTCTCTGCACATTGTAAGCACTCAGATAAATGGCAACCACAGTACATTCCACACAAAACTTAAAAAACAAATGGTCAGCCAGTGATGGGAAACTATGTATCTCATTTCTTTTACATGTACTATCCTTTCTTTTAAGACTTTTAAAAGAAAGGCTCCTAACAATCTCCCTATGCCTATTTCTAAAATGGCCCTTATCACAGTTTACTACAAGAGTCTTTGCTGGCTCCCGCGCTGGATTGTGAGCTTAAGGTAGGAATCCAGACTGGTATCTTTGGACACTCAATGTGGAGCACAAGGCCTAGCACACTGAGTGAGTACTTGATCAACTGATACATTCTTAAAAGGTGAAAAAGCAATTATTTCCTATGTGGAGAGAGGAAGGTAGCCCTCATCTGACCTATAAAATACAGACTGCATTTACAGTCTTAGACTGCTTTTTGAAAAAAGCCAGCTCAGCTCTAATCAGGAGGCAACACTATACGTTTTGACTAATATTTTTCAGCTACCAATCATTGTATTTATAGATTCAAACTGAGTTTCAACAAGTCTTTGGATTACTTTCTATCCATCTCCTCCATTCAAAAGTCCAATCAGTTAGCTATACAAAAAGACAAACCAGCTAACTTGTTTAGTAAATAAAAATATCCTTCATTTACGGTCTGCAAAGCATTCATGAATTCCTAGAAACTTATTTGACCCTAAGTATCCTATGAGGCAGGTGACACTGTCCCCTTTTATAGATGCAAAAAGTTAACTCATTCAGGGTCACACAGCTATATATGGCAGATCTGGGTTCTAAACCAACATTAATTTTAAAATTAATGCTCTTTCCTTTATGCAACTCTATTCCCTAAAGATCAATTATGATTTCCAATGGTCACTTAAGGAAAAGAGAGAATTGTCAATTTTTAAAAGAACGATACAAGGTTATCACAGGGAAATTTTTAAACTGGCCTATTAAGCTAACAGATCTACCTTTAAAAATAAAAACAAAATCAAGGAGTTATGAACAGCATAAAAACATGCCAAAGACTCATCAAAATGTCAAACACATTCTAAACAAATTTTTTAATTTACAGTAAAGCTCTTATCTGAGGGCAAATAATAATTAAAGACAGAACTCATGTCGATTTTACTGCAGCCTTCAATCTTCTTGTCCTGGTCAAGGCTACTCAGAAATAACTTCCTGTTGGTTCTCTTAGGGAAAACAACAAAATAAACTAACCAGTATGGGAAAAACTTACATAATAAAGAACGAGCCAGAATTAAAAATAAAATAAAAAGGTCAACTAGCATACTATAATCTACTGGGAATGACTTGAGGCCACTGATCATTTGCATCTCATTACAAGTATTAGATACATATAACCATACCTTTATTAGAAAATATTTTAGTAGAGAAAGCAGTAATATGATTGGCTTTCAGCACACATATCATGAAACAGAAAGCACTTTTAGTCTATGTTTCCTCAAGTATTCCCCTTAGAAAAATTCGCTCAGAATCTAGCTCGAACAGTTAGTTTCTCCATCATGACGTACAGGTAACTGCTAAGATCACAATCGTATAGAGAGTAAAAGGATTCTAAAGCTTAAAGGCTGCTATTATATAACCATTAATTTCTTGCCCCCTAACCAATGTGAATTGTCATCCTTCCCCAGAAAAATGTAGAAACCAAGGAACTTAAAAGTACCTTTACAAGGAAATTTTAGTTCATTCTCTAAGGTACCAGCATTTAAAGGAAAACTCAGTTTGTTGACACCAAAAGAGCAGGTAGCACAACAGGATGTTTGAATTTAGAAGTTTCTCTCTATTTATGTAAATATATTTCCTCATTTCCTCCTTGCCAAAAAAAATAAGGAAAATCTGAACATCAATTCATAAAGTAGTATAATCAACAAAAATTAATGGTTATAATCAAATTCTATTAGATGAAGAACCTAAAATTCTATGACAAAGTAATTGATAACTTTCTCCCTAGTATGAAGCAACTAGAAAAAGGGGATTCAGTGCTTGCTTCGGCAGCACATATACTAAAATTGGAACGATACAGAGAAGATTAGCATGGCCCCTGCGCAAGGATGACACGCAAATTCGTGAAGCGTTCCATATTTTTAAAAAAAAAAGAAAATGTGGATTCTTCAAAAGCTTGCTTCCTGATGCATGCTAGCAATATCATCCCTAGAGGCCAGAATGGTTATATGCCCCACAATAAATCGTATTGCATCGATCTTCAAAAATATCTAATATTCCCATTTAATTCACATTTACTTTATTAGGATTTGTGTAAAGAAAAATTAAGGACTAAATGGTATTCACATAAAACATATACACGTGTTTTTTCTACCACGGGCAGAAATCTATAATATCATTCCTTAGAACCAGATCACCTGGTTTCATTCCTGGTTCTGCCACTTACCTGGTGCTGTGTGTGAGACCTCGGGAAAATTATTCTTCTAAGTGTCTTAGCTTCCTCATCTGTAAAATGGGGCTAACAGTCTTACCTTTCATTGGTTGTTACGAAGACCGAGCTAATATGCTTAAATTGCTTTAAAAAAAGCTTAGTACACAGTAAGTACTGTAAGTGGAAACTATTATTATAGACTAATTGTCTGATGCCATCTTATCAGTTGGTGAATAAATCACAAATGGATGGATACTATATAGATGTCCATGAATAGTATATATGCTATGTCTAATCTATACACGTGTATATTCATACACATGGTCAAATAACATCTATTGAACCCCAACTGTATCCCAGATGCTTACTCTCATTATTGAGCTTGTCACAACATAAATATATCAAAGGCTGCATTACCATTTACGCTATACAGATGAGAAAATGATTCAGAAAGACTAGATTTTTCCTATGTGCAAAATAAAGTCCTATATTAATATATCAGTTTTTGAAAGCAACATGTGTACAAAGTAGGGTTTAGTCTCATCAGATGTTAACTGGAGAGAAAAAGCCATTAATACTGAACTCTGGGCCAGGCGCGATGGCTCACGCCTATAATTCCAGCACTTTGGGAGGCCAAGGCGGACGGATAACCTGAAGTCAGGAGTTTGAGACCAGCCTTGCCAATGTGATAAAACCTCGTCCCTACTAAAAATACAAAAATTAGCTGGGTGTGGTGGCATGTGCCCGTAATCCCAGGTACTCTCAGGAGGCTGAGACAGGAGAATCACTTGACCCCAGGAGACAGAGTTTGCAGTGAGCCAAGATCGCACCATTGCATTCCAGCCTGGGCAACAAGAGCAAAACTGTCTCAAAAAAAAAAAAAAAAAAAAAAAAAAAAGTGAACCCCGATTAAAAAAACAACAAAACCAAAAGCTTATATTTAACAATTTACAGTTTATAAAAAAAAGTCTTAGTGACAACCCTGGAGATAAGAAAACTACGAACCAGAGATTGATTAACATGCTGAAGATTTTCAGAAAGCTAGGAAATACTGCAGGCAAGATTTCAACCAAATTTACCTGACTCCAAGTCCAGTGCTCTTCCTGCTTCTCTATCCACGGCCAAATGGGCAAAATGCACTTTTTGTTGTGGCCCAAATCTTTGGAGACTCTGCCTAGAGAACCAACATCATGGGAATTTGCTCAGCCTGGTTTTATAGAGGCTGCCTCCCTGATCTATGGTGCTCCAATTCTAAAATGGCTTCAATATAACAAGCACTGTAAGATGGGAAATGTACAAAAGATTATAGGGTAGGATTCATATTCCAGAGGCTGGCAATCCATAAATATTTGCTACTGATGAATGAGGATATTCAATTTGAAAAAAACTAGGTGTATGGTCTAGGCCAAATCACCTCACTTCTCTAAAGACTTCATCTGCAAGATGGGTGAATGGTTTCTTACCTTATAGAAGGAAGACGCTAAGAAAATAATTCCACAGTTGCTACTGGATTATTAGCCTTCCATTTTGAGGGCCACACTTAAATTTCTAACTTAGGTCCAGTAAGATTGACAGGTTTTATACACTCACACACTATGCATCGCCAAGGAAGGCGATCCAAGAAATGAGGGCTCAAACAAATGAGATATCCCTAAGTAAGAAATAGGGTACACTGGAAGTCAAGAGTAATTCACTAAGAACCAATACTTACATTTCCAACACGAAAATGCAAAAGCTACAGTGTCCAGTTCTATAAACTGCATCTGTCTGGTTTCATACGAACTGACAGAGAAATGCAGACAATTTTCATATTCTTAAAGTGCTTCACCTTTCTGTTTTGGCTCCCGTGGCAAGCTGATATTATGTTCACAGCATCATCTTGCCAAATTCCATCTCCCACACAGGGCAAGTAAAATCAGAACCTGATGCTATCTAGCCTTACCAAAGGGAAATGCAGCGAAGACAGCGACAATAGATGTGCATTTCACAGAAAGGTTGGCAAACTAATTACCAAGGCTGCCACCTTTGAAAACCCCATTATATGGGGCTTCTCCATTTGCGGCAAAGATGCACTCATCTTCCCACCCCTTTTTTCCCCTCGCCCTTCACCCCCTTTCCCCCGACCAGGAAGCCACCAGGCATATTTCAGACCGAAAAACGTGCTAACACACAATATGGGGGAATTCTGGGTGAGGAAACAAAAGAATCTGGCGTTAAATGACGGTATATATCGTGGGAAAATACTCCGATTCTCATCCCCTGGTATTTTTTCCTCGGAATCCGGCCGGACTCAGTAACTGGCTCCAATAAATACATTTTCTTGAGTCAAACCCCAATTCCCTTCCTAGAGAATCTTGGGTCCTGCCAGGCTCCATAACCAGTGAAGGATGATGAAATGGTTTTACTCCAAAATGGGAGGGGGTTTTCCCCTTGCTGTTTCCCAAGGTTAAACCCCTTACTCATCCAGGAGGAGTCAAACAGGGGTACTGGGGCTAGAAAAAATTCACCCGCGTTTGATTAAATTTTAATTTCTGGAAACCGGAAAGCACAGAGCAGGGGTGACAGGGCTGAAGGGGACGGTTCTCGCCTACCAAGGTGCAGGGAGGGGTCGCGTGGGAACCGAAGCAGGTAGTGAGGGAGGATCCGGGATCCCCGGCTCCGCTGTCTCTTCCGGCGCAGTACGGAGCTGCACCCCACCCGGCCGGCAGGACCTCAGGCTGCGAGGGAGGCCCGAGCTCTCCAAGAGGTAAAGAGCCCGGCCCCGGAAGCAGGGAGGGGCCGCTGCGAGGCCTGGCCTCGCAGCCCTCGGCCGCGCCGAGCCGAAGAGACAGCGCGCCGCTACACCCCGGGGCCCACCCGCTGGGCCGCCGTCGTCGCAGCAGTCAGAGAGGGGCTTCGAGTTTGGGCCCCCGGGGGCCATGGGCGGGCCCCGCGCCGCACTCACCGTAGGAGGGCTGCAAGGGACAAAGACGCTTCCGAGCTAAGCTCCGAGCGAGGTGACCGCTTCCTTCCCAAGCCCACTGCTCAGGCGGTGGCGGTGGCGGTGGCGCTGCCTGCAGTGGCTGCAGCGGCGGCGGCAGCAGCTACCCAGGCTCGGGAATCCGCGGCGGCAGTGGCGGCAGCTCCACTTCCGCTCCGGCCACCACTTCCGCTCCGGCCCTGGCCGGGGCCCGCCCCGCGCCATCTTCTCATTGGGCAAGCGAGGCACGGGGTTGCCGCGGCCCCACGGGAGGGGCGCTGACGGAAGGGAGGAGGAAGAAACGCGGAGGGCAGGGATGCGGCGGCCTGGGCAGGGCCCATGGCCGGGGGAGGGACCCAGCAGAAGGTGGGCGGAGAAGAAGGAAATGGGGCGGGGGGAGCGGAAAGAGGAGGTGGGAGGAGAGAGGGCGGAGCTGGGTGTGGTCAAGATTAGGGCTGTGTGGGAACAAGGAGGACTAGGAGTGAGGTTTGGGTGGGGGTTGCCCTTTCTGCTCAGGCTGGGAACGCGCCAGGGACACGCCCGTAGACTCGAGGGTCATCGGTTCCCCCTCCACCCTGAAAGTAATCCTCACCGGATCGAAGGCCAGTGTCAGTCCTGTTGCTGTGTTCTTTGGAAATACTGGACCCAGGGAAGAACAGAAATTGCTCGTCCCTCAAGGATCACTTAATCCTCCTTTCTATTCTTCAGGGTGCTTTTTCCTACTTTGGTAGATTGAAGAGGCCACGTGAAGTGCCAGGCATCCGACGCACGAAGTTCTTTTTTAAAAACCTGTGTAGGGCCGAGCATGGTGGCTCTCACCTGTAATCTCAGCACTTTGGGAAGCTGAGGTGGTAGGATTGCTTGACGCCAGGAGTTGAAGCCTGCAGTGATCTATGGTCATGTCACTACATTCCAACCTGGGCAGCAGAGTGAGACCTGTCTCAGAAAATACACGAAAGTCTGTGTACATAATTTCTTCTTTAAAATGCCCCCTCCTTGAGGAAGTTCAAGGAAGGAAACAGGCCTCCATTGCTCCCCTCCCCTCCATGACTGCTTCCACAATTACTAATAGTCTATCATTATACTCCTCTCAAGGTAGTTTTTTTCTTTCTTCCTTTTTTTTTTTTGAAACGGAGACTGTCTGTCGCCCAGACTGGAGTACAATGTCACAATCTTGACTCACTGCAATCTCTGCCTCTCAGGTTCAAGCAATTCTCCTGCTTCAGCCTCCCGAGTAGCTGAGATTACAGGTGTATGCCACCACATCTGGCTAATTTTCGTATTTTTAGTAGAGACAGGGTTTCATCATGTTGGCCAGGCTGGTCTCAAACTCCTGACCTCAGGTGATCTACCCACCTCAGCCTCCCAAAGTGCCGGGATTACAGGCATGAGCCACCTCACCTGATTTTTAAACTCAGAACTTCAAAATGCCTCTCGCATTCTCCTGTTCATTTATTCTTTATTCTTTCAACAAATTCTTTATTCTTTCAACAAATGTCAAACGGGCTTTTGCTTAGTGCTGGAGACACAGCAATGAACAAGGCAGATGGGGCCCTGCTGTTTTGGAGTTTGCAGTCGGGTAGGAGGAAGAACTAAGTAAATAGGCCCTTGCTGTCTCGCCTTTACCCTTACTTAGCTAAATGACAGACTTCTGCTTCACCATTTTACTCTCAGCCTTGCCTGTCAACTGCCGAGTGATCCTTTAAAAATACCATTCTAATCGTGTCCTGCTCTAGCTAAAATTCTTTACTGTGCACTCAGATCTAGATGACAATGTATAAGTTACTTGAGTGTGACAATTAGGGTTCTCCAAAGCTGCCCTTATCCTTTAGCCATTACCTGCTATTTCTCCCCCATCGTAAATGCCCCAGTTCAATTGGATGATTCCTTACCCTCCCAATATCCCATCTCCAGAATTTCTGAACAGTTTGATTTAGTTGCCAACTTTTTTTTTTAACTGAAAAGTTTCTTTGTGAATAGAAATCTGCCTCTCTGTCTTGTCTGGCAACACTGTGTCCACATTTCTGTGTGGCAACAGTTGGCTGAAGCCAAGGAGTGGCTGCCTGCTCTAGCCTGGCATGGACTTTCCCAAGTGCCAGGGACTCTTCTTGACCTGAGTCTACTTTTGTCACTTATGTTATCTGTCAAATAGGCATGTATGCCAGTCACCCCTGTACTGTGCCACCTTTTAAGTTAAACAAGATTGAGAACGTGTTGTGTAATGTAAACAGCAGGGTTTTGAGTCAAAACCATTGGATTTGAATCCTGAGGAAGTTTCCTAGTGCAAAAACTTCCCCATGAGGATGGTCTTTGGCAGACCAAAGGCCAGTAATCTAGAGACTACTCAGGCTAAGTAACCTTTAATGTCCCATGACTGTGCCTTATGCCATCATCCAGAAAATAGCCTAATGGGCCAGAGGGCCAATAATGATTGCACCACAAATGACATCAACAGTGCATTGAGAGAATAGAAATGCCCTTTGTCAAGCATGCCTAGGTGCCTGTTAAAGGGTTGCATGGATTAGCTTATTTCACCATCTCTACATTCTGGCCCAGGTGCCAGCAAACTGTGCTATGAACTGACAGAGATACAGAGGAATGTTAAAATACAATGTGGTAGGCACAACCATAGAAATAAATATATGTGCAGGGTATTATGGGAGCTTGGGAGAAAAGCACCTAACCCATCTTGGGAGTATGATGGGAGAGCAGGAAGGATTTCCTGGAAGAAGTGCTTGAGCCTTATATACTGCAATGAATGTTTTCTTCAAATTATAGACTTAATTTTTTTTTGTTTTTTTTGAGACAGAGTCTTGCTCTGTCACCAGGCTGGAGTGCAGTGGCACGATCTCGGCTCACTCCACCACCCAGGTTCAAGTGATTCTCCTGCCTCAACCTCCCAAGTAGCTGGGACTACAAGTACGCACCACCATGCCCAGCTAATTTTTTTGTATTATTAGTAGAGATGGGGGGATTCACCATGTTGGCCAGGATGGTCTCAATCTCTTGACCTCACGATCCGCCCACCTTGGCCTCCCAAAGCGTTGATATTACAGGCGTGAGCCACCGCACCTGGCTGTAAGAGTTAATTTTTGAAAATGTTTTCGTAGAGAGAGGGTCTTACTATGTTGCCCAGGCTGGGATCGAACTCCTGGCCTCAAGTTATCCTACTGTTTCCTTCCAAAGTGCTGGGATTAGAGGTGTGAGCCACCGTGCCTGGCCAATAGACTGAATTTTTTAGAACAGTTTTAGGTTTACAGAAAAATTGACCAGATATTGCAGAGTTTCCACATTCCCTCTTCCTCCCCCACACAGTTTTGCATATTGTTAACAGCTTGTATTAGAGTGGTACATTTGTTTCAATTGATGAGCCAGTATTGATACATCATTATTAACTAAAGTCCGTAGTTTACATTGGGGTTCATTCTTTATGGTACACAGTTCTATAGTTTTTGACATATGCATAATGTCATGTATATAAATAAAAGTTTTACTGTCTTAAAAATCTTTGCTTCAACTCTTCATCCCTCATTCCCTCTTCTAACTCCAGCCTTTGGCAACCACAGACCTTTTACACCAAAGTTTTACCTTTTCCAGTACATCGTATAGTTGCATCATACAATACATTGCCTTTTCTTTCTTTGCTTTGCTTTTTTTTTTTTTTTTTTTTTTTTTTTTTTTAGACAGGGTCTCACTCTCAGCCTCCCAAGTAGCTGCGACTACTTGGGAGTAGGCTGGAGTGCAGTTGTGCAATCACAGCTCACTGCAGCCTCGACCTCCTGGGTTCAAGTGATTCTCCCACCTCAGCCTCCTTAGTAGCTGGGACTACAGGTGTGCACCACCACCACGCCTGGCTAATTTTTGTATTTTTATAGAGATGGGGTTTTGGCATGTTACCCAGGCTGGTCTTGAACTCCTAGACTCAAGCAGTCTTCTTGCCTTGGCTTCCCAGAGTTCTGGGTAATAAAGGTATAAAGCACTGCGCCCAGCCCATATGTAGCCTTTTCTGACTGGATTGTTTTATTAAGCAATGTCATTTAAGTTTCCTTCATGTCTTTTTATGATTTGATAGCTTATTTCTTTTGATTGCTTTAAAATGTACCTTTATATGAATATACTACAGTTTGTTTATCCATTCACCTATTGTTTTTTTATCGGACAGAGTCTCACTCTGTTGCCCAGGCTGGAGTGCAGTGCCATGATCTTGACTCACTGCAACTTCTGCCTCCCAGGTTCAAGCGATTCTCCTGCCTCAGGCTCTCAAGTAGCTGGGATTACAGGTGCGTACCACCATGCCCGGCTAATTTTTGTATTTTTTAGTAGAGACAGGGTTTTGCCTTGTTGGCCAGGCTAGTCTTGAACTCCTGACCTTAGGTGAACTGCCCATCTCGGCCTCCCAAAGTGCTGAGATTACAGACATGAGCCACTGTGCCCAGCCCATTAACCTATCCTTTTTTTTTTTTTTTTGAGATGGAGACTTGCTCTGTCACCAGGCTGGAGTGCAGTAGTGCAATCTTGGCTCACTGTAACCTCTACCTCCTGGGTTCAAGTGATTCTTCTGCCTCAGCCTCCCAAGTAGCTGGGACCATAGCTGTGTGCCACCATGCCTGGCTAATTTTTTTTGTATTTTTAGTAGAGACGGGGTTTCACTGTGTTGGCCAGGATGGTCTCGATCTCTAGACCTCATGATCCGCCCCCCCTCAGCCTCCCAAAGTGCTAGGATTACAGGTGTGAGCCACCGCGCCCGGCCCATTAACCTATTCTTAAGGATTGACTTGCATTCTCCA